AAATACCATGTAACTTTATAATAGGCCTTATTTCATGATGATTAATGACCTTGTAAAGTTAGAAAGTTAATGGGACAGGTTTATAGGCTAAATCAAGAATTAGGGGTATAATAATCAAAATGCCACTAGGACTCTTTAGGATATTTCAATGTTTAAACCTCCTCCAAATGACTTGCTACTTTTCATAAGGCCTATTTATAAGGACATAAAGATACGTTCAAGAATTCAAGCTATGTTGCTTGGAACTTAAGAAGCCTTGAGCGTAGGTATTCAGACTATGCCACGTGGAACGTATAAAGCATTGGGCAAAAGTTTTTAGACTATATCGCAAAAAACGCATGAACCCTTGGATGCGGGTTAGGACTACGTTGGATGTAGGCTTTCAGACTACACTACTTAGAATGTAAGAAGCCTTGAGCATAGGTATTCAAACTATGCCACTTGGAATGCATGAAGCCTTAGACATAGGTTTTCAAATCGTATCAAAAGGAGCACATGAAACCCTAGATGTGGGTTTAGACTACATCACTTCGAACACATGAAACTTAGGACGTAGGTTAAGAATGTGTCACTTGGAACATATGAAGTCTTAGACACAGGTGGTTAGATTCATGACTTGTATCATAAATCCCAGGGGAGTATCTTGGAGAACAAACCAAGAATAAAAAAACATATAAAATATCAAAGAATGAGACAATGATCTAGAACTTGAACCTGGATAAAGATCAAAATTTTAAAAACCACAACCCAGAAGCTTAGTACTAAGGCCCTTAGATTAGAACCAGATCTTATAATCCGAGGACTAATGTCCTTAGGCTAGATCATAACAAGAACTTATAACTCAAGAATAGAATCTAACCGCCTAAGTACTTGCAAAAAAAAGAAGAACAAGTTAAGGAGTGTGTACCCTAACATACCAAAAAACAAGATTAAGGGACTACAAGTAGGCTACTTATTTTTTCTTTGTACTCACTCCATATTTTAAGTTTTTTAGGTAAATAATGAGCTAGTCGAGGCCGGGAGCCTACATCGAAGTAGGTGCCATAGACAAGTCTCATTCATTGTTCTTAACTCTTTTGAGTTGTGGCTTGCGTAAAATTGGATTGTGACGTGTAACTACCCTATCCTCAATTCCTTGACATTTGCGACAATGTCGTCATCCGTACAACATCTTACCTTTATTTGTAATAAGTAGCATGTGACTTAAGTATTTAAAAATACTTATTAAGTAGGTTTATTTTTTGGATGAGAAACACACAAGCAATTATGGTGGTATGGTGGACCTATCTTTCCATAAAAATATCATGACATTGCCTTGGACTCTTATTTCTAGTTTGGAAAGGATTGGATGTGTAGTATGTGCTTCAAATTGCCGATTTGAATTTTTAAATGAGTGTTTCAGTTTTAAGCACTTATAAACTACTTTATAGACTTTTATTCTTCGGTATTGTAGTCAAAATCATCTAGAATGATCATTCCCCACAAAATTTTTGAAAAACATTGACCATGTCCCAGATTTTTTAAAACGTGCATCAAATGACCCGATTAGGATTCAAAATTAGGGTTTCGATTTTAAACACTTATGTACTGTTCAATCTTCGACATTTTGGTCAAAACCAACAAGTTTGATCATTCCCTACAAAATTTTTAAAAAACATCGACCATGACTCACTTTTATAGCACGTGCTTCAAACGGCCCGATTAGGGTTTACAAATAAAAGTTTTAGTTTTAAGCACTTACATACTATTTTAGAGACTCCTTTTCTTCGACATTGTAGTAAAAATTATCAAGTTGATCATTACCAAAATTGTTTTTGAAAAACATCGACCGTGACTCAGTTTTTTTAGCACGTTCTTCAAACGGCTCAATTAGGATTTTTAAATTGGTGTTTCGGTTTTAAGCACTTGCATACTATTTTATACACTAGTATTCTTCAATATTTTAATCAAGATCATCGAGAAAGATCATTTTCCACAAAAATTTTGAAAAACATCGATCGTGACTAAATTTTTTTAGCACGTGCGTCAAACGACTCGATTAGGATTCAAAATTAGAGTTTTGATATTAAGCACTTACCTACTGTTTTATAAACTCTTTCTCTGTCATTTTGGTGAAAACCATCAAGTTTGATAATCCACCACAAAATTTTTGAAAAACATCGACCATGATTAATTTTTTAGATAATGCTTCAAATTATCGATTTTAGTTTCTAAATTAGGGCTTCGGTTTTAAACACATACGTATGGTTTCAAAGGCTCCTTTTCTTCGACATTCTAGTCAAAATCATCAAGTATGTTCATTCCCCAAAAAATTTCAAAAACATTGACTTGAACTCAGATTTTTAAGCACGTGGTTGAAACGGCCCGATTCAGGTTTGCAAATTAGAGTTTCGGTTTTAAGCACTTACGTACTGTTTTATAGATTCATTTTCTTCCATATTCTAGCCAAATAATCAAGTTTGATCATTCCCCACAATAAGTTCAAAAAACATCGACTGTGACTCAGTTTTTTCATGCATGTGCTTCAAATAGCCTGATTAGGGTTTCAGTTTTAAGCATATACGTATGGTTTTATAGACTCATAAACCATACTCATTTTCTTCAACATTCTAGCCAAAATCGTCAAGTTTAGTCGTTCCCACAAAAATTTTGAACAACATCAACCGTTACTTAGTTTTTTAGCACGTGTTTCAAACGACCCAATTAGGGTTTTCAAATTAGTGTTTCGCTTATAAGCACTTACGTACTATTTTATAGACTCATTTTCTTCGAAATTGTAGCCCAAATCATCCAGTTTTATTATTCCCCACAAAATTTTAAAAACATCGACGGTGACTCTGTTTCTTAGCACATGCTTCAAATGACTCAATTAGGGTTTCCAAATTAGGGTTCTCTTTTAAGTACTTACATATTAATTTATGCACTCATATTCTTCGACATTCTAGTCCAAATCGTCAAGTGTTATAATTTCCCACAAAAATTTTCAAAAACATTGATGTTGACTCAATTTTTGTAACATGTGCTTCATCATATTCTATCACAGGCCAGGCCTCGAGCGACTATAATACTTGCCTGAAAGCTACAACCCTTCTGGACATGCATTGCCTGAATACGAATAACGGGAATATCTTAGTAGGACACGAGGCACCTAGATAGTTACCAAAGGACCAACCACAGGCTAAAGAAGAGGGGCGACCGTAGAAGGATTATCCCAAAGGACCAACCCCAATGCCCCAAGTGCTACAAACATCATGAGGGCGAATGCCTAATTGGGACCAATGTCTGCTTCAATTGTGGAAAAGGAGAACATTGTATTGCAGATTGGGTGAAGATTTCAACTTCAGACCACAAATCAGAACCAGCGAGGTAGGGGAGACCCACCACATGCTAGAGCCTTGGCACACACCACTATAGCCAAAAGAGTGGAGGACCCCGACACAATAGTAACAGGTACCCTTTCTATCCTTGGCTACCTTGCTTAGTCAAGTTCTACCCACTCTTTTATAGCAAATGAATTCATTAAGCAAACAAAATTAGAATTAGAATCTCTAGAAATACCCTTCACAGTTTCAACACCTGCTATAATAGACCTCCTAGCCACACAAAAAGTAAAGGGTAGAAAGATTATGCTATCTGCAAAGCATTTTAAGGTCACATTGATAGTCTTAGATATGATAGACTTTGACGTTATTTTAGGGATGGACTGCCTAATGGACAACCATGCCTATATCGACTATCGGATGAAAGAAGTGTTATTCAGACTGTTGTCCTGCAAGAGTTTTAAGTACAAGGGGAAATGTTTTAGAGATGCTCCAAGGTTGATCACAGCCATGAAAGCAAGAAAGCTAATCAAGCACGGGGCATGGGCGTTTCCACCCGGCATCACCAATAACAATAAAACAAACATCGATAATCCTCTGAATTGGTAGTAAAGCACTTCAGGACGTCTTTCCGGAGAAACTCCAAGCCTACCCCAAGTCAAAGTGGTAGACTTTGGGATTGAATTGGAACCAGGAACTCGACCGATCTCCAAGGCTCCTTATAGAATGGCCCTAGCCGAGTTCAAGGAATTCAAAGAATAACTACGAGAGTTATTGGAGAAAGGGTTCATAACGCAAAGTATCTCACCATGGGAGCTTCAGTATTCTTTGTCAAAAAGAAAGATGGGTCCTTGCGATTGTGCATAGATTATCGAGAGCTCAATAAGGTTACGATAAAGAACAAGTACCTACTCCCAAGGATTGACGACCTCTTCGATCAACTCCAAGGGGCTTCAGTATTCTCCGAGGTAGATTAAGGTTAGTATATCACTAGCTAAGAATCAAGAAGGAAGACATACCTAAGACAGCCTTCAAAACATGTTATGGTCAATACGAATTCACGTTTATGTCCTCCCGACTTACTAACACCCTTACAGCCTTCATGGACTTGATGAACAAACTATTCAAGAACTTTCTCAACACATTCGTAATTGTATTTATAGAGGATATCCTTTTCTACTCTAAGATCGAGAAAAATATGAGTCTCACCCAGAATGGTATTGACAAGGTTATGAAACCATTAGTTATACGCAAAGTTTTATAAATGCAAATTTTGGCTTTCAGAGGTGGCCTTCCGTAGACCCGACTAGAGTGGAAGCATTACTGAAAAATGCCCCAACTGAACACAGTCGCAAAAGTCCAAAGTTTCCTAGGACTGGCAGGTTGTTACAGGAGATTTATAAAGAACTTTTTCAAAATATAAGCACCTAACTCGCCCAGAAGAGTAAGACATTCACTTGTACATTGGCATGTGAAAAGAGCTTCATGGAACTCAAGGACAAGTTGGTATCAGCTCCAAGCTCCAATCCTTCCATTACCAAACAACTTGTGAAACTTCCCAGAGCTACCAACCGTGGTGTTCGCCTATAAGATGTGGCACACTATGTTTATCGAGAAAGGATACAAGTGTATACGGACCACAAAAGCCTAAAGTATTTTTTCATGCAAAAGGAGCTCAACATGAGACAAAGAAGGTGGTTGGAACTTGTGAAGGAACGTATACACTTACACTATGTTGGAACTTGTAAAGTATTTCTAGCTTCTTCCTTTGTACCGTTGTTACCGATCTTTAATGGTGAGAAATATAAGTGGTGGAGCATCAAGATGAAGACCTTGCTCAGATCGCATGAGCTATGGGACTTGGTGGAGCACGGGTTTGTTGATGTATTAGAACCCACAATAGAAGAAAATGAGAGACTAAGAGAAACCAAGAAAAACGATGCCAAGGCTTTATTCATTATTCAGCAAGCAGTTCATGAGACTATCTTCTTACGAATTGCAGCAACAACCACATCAAAGCAGGCATGGTCAATTCTATTGAAGGAGTTTCTAGGAGATTCAAAGGTCATGACAGTGAAATTGCAATCTCTAAGACATGATTTTGAAACTCTACTCATGACGAATGGCGAATCAATTGCTGATTTTTTGTCAAGAGCAATGGCAATAGTCAGTCAGATGCGTACCTATGGAGAGAAAATTTCAAACGAAACAATTGTTGCAAAGATGTTGAGAAGCTTGACTCCAAAGTTTGACCATGTGGTGGCTACCATGAAGCTAAAGATCTATCCATACTCTCCGTTGATGAATTGATGGGCTCGCTTCAGGCCCATGAGGCAAGAATCAATAGAGCATCAGAAAGGAACGAAGAAAAGGCACTACAGGTGAAGGAGACAACCAACAACGAAAACAACGAAAGAGAAAATATTCATTTAGCAGGTAGAAGAGGAGGATTTCGCAGCTTCCATGGTGGTCATGATAACGAGGGTAGATGAAGAAGTGATGGACAGAGACAATTCAATGAACAAAGGAATGTCATACAATGTTACCATTGCAGAAGGTATGGGCACACAAAATCTGATTGTCGGTATAAAAATCAACGAATGAATTTTGCAGTAGAGAATGAAGAAGAAGAAAAGCTGCTTATGGCGTGCATGGATACTAATCCAAAAAAGGGTGACTTATGGTTTGTTGATAGCGGATGCTCAAACCATATGAAAGGCACCAAATCTTTATTCAAAGAGCTTGATGAGACGCAAAAAATTAAGGTGCAACTTGGAAACACAAAAGAGATGCAAGTTGAGGGAAAAGATATGGTGCAACTTGGAAACACAAAAGAGATGCAAGTTGAGGGAAAAAATATAGTGAAAGTCGAAACCAGTCATGGTAAGATAAAACAATTAGATAATGTTCAATTTGTACCTGATTTAGGGTATAATTTATTGAGTGTTGGACAATTAATGACCATAGGACATTTAGTTCTATTTGATGACAACACATGTGTCCATTACATATAAGAAATCAGGCCATAAAGTTCAAATTGCCATGACTTTAAATAAGATGTTTCCACTTGATATTTCTAACATGGAGAATTTTGCTGCTAGCACGAAAGATGACTCAACATTATGGCATCTCAGATATGGACATCTTCATATGAACAGCCTGAAAATACTCAGGAATAAAGGTATGGTTTTTGGATTACCAAGAATTGACTCAACTAATTTATGTGAATGATGCATTTATGGCAAGCAGACTAGGAAGTTCTTTCCTATTGGAAAAGCTAGAAAGCTTCACATTGCCTAGAACTAATTCATGCTGATTTATGTGGGCCAATGCAAACGAAGTCCTTGGGTGGGAGTATATATTTTTTTACTATTCATTGATGATTATAGTCGCATGAGCTGGGGTTACTTCCTACAATGTAAGTCAGAAACTTTTCAGAAGTTACAGATTTTTAAAGCTATGGTAGAGAACCAAAGTGGCTGTCACATTAAAGTTCTTCGAACAGACAGAGGTGACGAGTTCATATCTAAAGAGTTCAATCTATTTTATGAAGAAGAGGGCATCCAAAGAGAATTAACAGCTCCCTACACTCCAGAACAAAATAGAATCACAGAACGAAAAAATCGAACTATTGTGGAGATGACAAGAAGTATGTTACAAGCAAGGAGACTTCCAAACCAATTTTGGGCAGAAGCCGTAGCAACATCTGTTTATCTATTAAACATCTCACCAACAAAGGTTGTTATGAATTGAACTCCTTATGAAGCATGGCATGGAAGGAAACCAACTGTAAGTCAATTACGAATCTTTGGTTGTGTTGCTTATGCTTTGAAACATCCTCAAATTCGTCAAAAGCTTGATGAAAAATCTGAAAAATGCATTTTCATTGACTATTGTACTCAATCAAAGGCATATAAATTATACAATCCCATCGGTGAAAAGATTCTAGTTAGAAGGGATGTAATATTTAATGAAAATGTGAGTTGGGATTGGAGTAAAGAACGGGAGCAACAAAAGATTACCGTTGAAGTTTCTCCAAATAAAGAGACAAGGGTCAACTCCAGTGCATTTCCCAGTGCCTCCACTACAACAAAAAATGTGTTAAATTCATCATCTTCAGCATCACTAAACAACGATTCTTCTCTTGAAGAACTTTCGGATGAGACACCTCCAAAGAAGTATAAATCTTTAACTGACATATATGTATCATGTCAATTTGCTCTTACTGTTTCAGATCCTATGAGTTATGAAGAAGCAGCTGAAAAAGAAGAGTGGAAGAAAGCCATGGTAGAAGAGATGCAGTCCATGAGAAAAATGGAAGGTATTCAGGTCTGTTCTACATTGAGGTCCTACCCCAACGCTCAAATCCCCCTAGAGCTGTCTATAAGATGTGAAAGAATGTCTGCTCGACCTTCTTCGATTGCCAGAGGAATTATAAGTGGTCATTAGTGGGCCGGTTTGCATTACCATATGTCTTAGCATGTCCATCAGGGTTGCAATCCTCAAGGCTTCATCATAATCAGAGGATACCTGTGCCATTACCAAACTTTTAATTTTTATCTGAAGACTTGCAACTGAGCGATCCATCTTCATCTTCTCGTTGCTGACATACTTAGGGCACTACCTCACCAGCCTATTTAATTCGGTGTCAAATTCCTCAACAGATTTATCCCCCTGTTTGAGCTCTAGGAATGCTGTCTGATACTTAATTCAGGCGCGTAAGACTTATGCAGATAACCATCCTTAAACTATTTCTAGGAATTGTAAGTTACCTCTGGAGCAATCGTTCTCTAGGCACCTTTTCACCCTTCAACATGTAAGTACCATACAATCTCAGCTGCTATAGGGTCCACCTTGCCTCCATCAAAGGAAGATGATTTTTACCACTAAAATATCGAGACTCCATAGTCGTTGCCGCTAAATCTCTCGTCCCCTACACTATAGCCTTAATTACCACCCGTATCTGCATCAACTGAGTCATCTGAGCCTTGCTTTCCATAGAGGTCTTTATAAATGTCTGTAGCGCAATCAATGTAAACACCACTGTCGGCTAGGCAAGCATATCCTCAGGAATCAATGTTGTCACTAGGGGAGCTTCTCTAGGTGTTGAGTCCTGGAGAATAATGTTGGGTTGTAATGTTTGGAACAACCCAGGGCACGACCCTCCTCTGAACTCTTCTAGGTGCGGGTGCTTGTGGCGGTGCTTGATCCTCATATGGGGTAAACTCTCTTGTTTCCCTCGGGGTAGGTTCTGCTCCACCTCTGAAATGGGAATAGATGGGCCTTTTTTACCCATCTTTGGCCTTCTTGGGACTAGGTTCAAGATAAGCACCTCTTCGTTAGACGTTATTATCTATTATCGAATAGGGAGTAAGTGTAAGGATTCAGATTTTATATTTTTACATTTTATGTTTGAGATTTTATTTTTGCTCCAAAAAATGAAAAGATATGTTATGCATTAATTCTTGCCGGAAAAGGTGCCTGATTTCCACAAGAAAGTTATTAACTTAATGGAAATGTTATGAGAACCTTTATATTCCTATGTGCAACCCTTCTCTTTCCTTAAAAATTATTTTTGTTTCCAAACTCTTTGTATTTGAGTGTGTCTGAGAGAATGGGAATCAAGAGTGTTCAGAAAGAAATCATGTGGGTTGATTTGAGGGTTTTTTGGTGAGTTCTCGGAATCGGTGGGGTTGCTAATCCGGAGGGAGAGTCGAGTGGAAGTAAGCATCAATGTAGGGATCGCTGCGTTGAAGAAGGCGAAGGCAGATCGTTGGAATCGAAGAAAAGGATGCTACGTGACCGTCATAGGAAACAGAGAAGACTGTGTCATTAGAGTCGATGGTGGATCTTTGATTAGGGTTTTCAAGGTCTTCTGGGAAAGGAAGACGAAGGAATCGGATCGGGTTACTTCGGTCGCTAACCCAGCCCACAGACAAACATGGGCCGCTGATAAGAAATAGAAATAGAAAATAGAATAGAAAATAGAATTGGAAAAGTGTATATTCTTCATTCAGGTGTACGACGTTTAAATAGATACAAACTATTAACTAATACCTAAAAATAGACTAAATCTTGTAAATAAATAAAATACACGATTAATCAAATTTATACTAACAACTTCCTAAATATCTCAGCTATATTCTAAGTAATATATCTCCAAAATATCCTCTTAATACTCCCCCTCAAGTTGGAGAGTGTATGTCGATCACACCCAACTTGTCCTTCAAAAGATCAAATTGTTGTCTTCCCAGATAGTAAAAACATCTGTCAATTGCATTTTGGTCGAAATATAACACGGTTTGATGATTCCAGCTTGTAACTTTTCTCGAACTATATGACAATCTATTTCAATGTGTTTCGTACGTTCGTGAAAAGCTGGATTAGCTGCTATATGTAATGCTGCTTGATTATCACAATATAATAATGCTGGTTCGGACAGTGGAACATTCAAGTCTTGAAGAATGTATCTTAACCAAGTTAACTCTAAACAAGTATTTGCCATAGCTCGATACTCGGCTTCTGCTGATGATCTGGACACATTAGTCTACTTTTTAGACTTCCAAGAAATAATTGAATTTCCAAGGAAAATGCAGAACCCAGAAATAGAACGTCTGGAAGTTCGGCAACCACCCCATTCAGAATCGCAATATGCTTGTAATCTTAAATTTTTTTCAGATGGCAGTAGGAGTCCTTGACCAGGAGTGCCTTTGATGTACCTCACAACGCGAAGAGCTGCCTCCCAATGTGGTTTTCTTGGTTCATGCATAAATTGGCTAAGCATACGAACTGAATAAGCTATGTCAGGCCTAGTGACAGTCAAATATATTAATCTGTCAATCAACCGTCTGTATTTATTTGGATCGTTCAATTTCTCTCCTTCAGTTAAAGAAAGTTTCAGATTTTGCTTCATAAGAAATTTGTCTGGACGTGCTCGTGTAAGGCCTGTGTCTTGAAGGATGTCTAGAGCATACTTCCTTTGAGACATAAAAATTCCTTTTCTAGACCGAGAAAATTCAATGCCTAGAAAATATTTCAAATTTTCAATCTTTGATAAGAAATTTCTGGAGTAAACTAGCCTTGAGATATTGCATTTCTTTGAGATCATTGCCTGTCAACAGAATATCATCAACATAGATTAGAACGGCAGTGAAAGAAGTACCTTTACTCTTGGTAAACAAAGAGTAGTCTGCTTTGGACTGAGTGTAGCCTGCATTTTGTATAGTTGTAGAAAATATGGAGAACCAATTGCGAGAAGCCTGTTTTAATCCATAAAGAGATTTATGGAGCCGACATACTGTATTCTCCCC